TGTATTGTGTGTGTTGTGTGTGTGTGTGTGTGTGTGTTGTGTGTTTGTGTTGTTGTTGTGTTGTGTGTGTGTGTGTGTGTGTGTGTGTGTGTGTGTGATGTGTGGTGTGTGTGTATGGTGTGTGTGTGTGTGATGTGTGTGCTGTGTGTTGTGCGCGACGATGTGTATGTGTGTGCGCGCGTGTATGTCATAAATACATGTCAAGCAAATATTATTTTATTTACATATTGGCCGAGCGCGCGATTGCTTTATTGAGAAATTTTACATTCCGACGGCCGCCCTTTACTGGTATGCACTGCAATGCAGTACAATGTAATGCAATGCAATGCAATGCAATGTAATGTAATGTAATGTAATGTAATGTAATGTAATGTAATGTAATGTAATGTAATGTAATGTAATGTAATGTAGTGATGTTATGTATGTGAAGTTACGTAATGTGTTGTAAGCAGTTCTAGTAGGCCTACATTAAGAACGGCGCGGTGCGGAAATAGGTGTGAATGTCAATCAGGAATTCACCACGGGAGCAGAGAAATAGACGCTGCAGTATGAACACGTAATACCTCCGTTGGTCTTTTAACGCTAATGTGTGTGTGTGTGTGTGTGTGTGTGTGCGCACGTGTGTATGTGTGTGCGCGCGTGTATGTCATAAATACATGTCAAGCATAATATTATTATTTACATCATTGGGCCGAGCGCGCGATTGCCTTTTATTGAGAAATTTTACATTCCGACGGCCGCCCTTTACTGGTATGCACTGCAATGCAATGTAATGTAATGTAATGTAATGTAATGTAATGTAATGTAATGTAATGTAATGTAATGTAGTGATGTAATGTAATGTGAAGTTACGTAATGTGTTGTAAAGAAGGTTCTAGTAGGCCTACATTAAGAACGGCGCGTGCGGAAATAGGTGTGAATGTCAATCAGGAATTCACCCACGGGAGCAGAGAAATAGACCGTGCAGTATGAACACGTAACACTCCGTTGGCTTTAACGCTAACCTTAAGGCCTTAAAGGCCTCCGCACACCGAATGGCGCGCGCCGAATGCGAGCTGGTTTACGTGCGCAAATGGCGCGCGCGTTTAGCTCAGCCAAACAAACCCGCTAAAACAAATCTAAAACAAAGCTAAACCCGCTCTATCGTCAAAGCCAACGGAGTGATCAGACCAGACGAATAGCCGGTTGTGTTATTAGTCGTAGCCCGTCAGGCACCCCCGCCTAGACAATGCATCCACACTGCTTTCTCATCTTTTACATGTTTTGCGGTAGACATTCATGTTTACGAGCGACACCTACGGGCCATCTCGCACCCCCCTGCTCGACCTATAGCCGAGATCAATGCGGCGAAGACAGTCACGTAAAACATCGCTAGCACACATTACTATAATGTCCTACGACGTGCTAGTATCGCACAACACATTCGGTCATATGTTCGTCATGTACCAGAACAAGGTGTACCCTCAGGTGGTCCTACGAGTCGACGGACACAATATGAAAGCGTAAACGGTGACGGCCTAAGACGACTTGGTGTCAGACAGGAGGCAACCAAGATGAAGGAGGTGCGGGCTTTCATTAGTCAAGGTACCATAGACAACTTATATACACATATTTGATATATGATATTTATGCAAGTCACAGGCCATACGTGTTACGAGACAGGCCTGAGTGGCGGAGGGAGTTGTGGGCTTATCACCCAGCAAGAATAAAGAATGTGGAGACTATTGGCGTTGTTAGGTTGAACCATGGTCTACCGCGTTAAAAAAATTGTTTGCGATCCTACTTGACTCTAATGCGGCATGGTGTCGAACGAGGCTGCCCTTCTTTTAATACGTGACAAGAGTTTTTTCTCTGATATCTATAACAAATAACAATCTACTTTACATAACAAATTTAGTAAACCATAAAAATTAAGCACAATAACCACTAAATGAGACGACAGATTATTATTTATTCATCTCAAAGTTACATACAAATGTACCTAGTAGGTTATTACAGACGTTGCTAGTTCTGCAAAATAGGACTTTGACCTACACGCTCCGGCTTACACCAATAAACAACTTACCAATAGACGTTGAAAGTAAAACTTAGCTAATAAAATGGCGCCACTCTCCACGTGGCAGATCCACTCCCCCTTCTACCCGTTTGTTCGTTAACAGTTAACACCCTCACAGCCGCAAAGTATCACACCATTAACAATTAACAACACCCCCTACAACCAGAAGTATGTGCACCGGTTCACAACACATTCGTAAAACATGTGATACCGAACGGACAAACACGAGATATTTTTCCGCTGGCTCATGCTAAACCCACACAACATCCGCCGCCCACGTATCATTATATAGTAAAAACTCATCGTACCAGCGTCATCAATAAACAAACAGTGATGACACGCACCGAATACCATTCCTAGATATCCGATATAGATGTATGCTGTGTGTGTATAAGAACGCTAAGATCCCATCCAAGCCCTGGTGCCGTACATATATTAATTGATGCTGTGGGAACATCTTCATACATCGAACTCCATCTCATTTAAACTCGACCTCATGCAACATTACGAAAAGGCAAAACTTCGCGATAATTATGCATTTAGCCTCGATAAATGATGGATATGACAGTAATGTCTGACAGAAAACTATAATACAACCAATCACATGACAATACAATCACCACGTGGCAACACATGAGATTTCACCCATAGCATTTCACAATTACGACCAAACTAAAAAAACATTCACAATTAATGAATTATTAAATTATAATTAAAATAATTATTAATTGTGCATAATCACACAACTATTCCATATCACGTGATAACTCAACATTTTGTAACGAACTGCGAGATACCCCATTGTTAACAACATGAACCATTGTATATTTAATATACTTAAGTTGATATCAACACTCATAACTACTGCTTTGTCCATATATAACTTCCGTCCGTTATAGGTACTTCACAGTATCTATAAAGACTGCCATAAACCGAACAGATGCTGGTACCTAACACTAAAATTGAAGGAACTGTAAGAATAACAAAACCGGGAAAATATTGGAGGTTTGCATGAATGCAAAGAATACTGATTAAAACGTCTGCTATCTTAATATACAGTTCACGACAAATTGACATTATAGATTATGATATACACCGTGGTAACTCATTCATGTCATACTGTTATAAAATCGTAATTACTCCACTATTTTTCAATTCCCACACTCAAACTATTATGACCACGCCCACATATACGGCATTGAAAATATATGGACCAAATATCAATTTAAATGTTTATTATAACAGAATTTTTCCAGACACTTTAAAACACATATATGTATACATATATAATTTTACCAGTAAACTAATAATAACTTGATTTGTAGCATGGGGACTGGAGGTTGATAAGTTATATGTGGGTTGGTATATCGGTGGTATATCCTGCAATAGGGTTTCTTCAGGTTACCTTTTCCAGTTTTTTTTCTTCAAATTTCCTCTTCTATTTCTCCACTCCGTTTAAAGGTTGCTCATACGTTTTCCCACCTGAAAAGGTGACAGACATCAATAGAAAATGTTAGATTGAGATGCGCATGGTCCTAAACTATACATGGTAAAAAATTACAAAAATGAAAAAATACAACTGCTAAACCAAATAACATAATTCTAAAGATTTGTCATTAGTTATATATAGAGTTAAATTATTACTATTTTACAAACACAGCACCTTGGAAGCTCCAAATATTTACTTAAAATTTCAAACTCAGACAGATCCTACACTCTAACATGAAACTGGAATCAACAAAACAGTACATAAACTTACACAGCTATGAACCCCAATAGTAGAACTACGACAACAATACGACAACTAAACTTAACTGGTGATTCCACAAATTGTAAATATACTAGAAAGCTCACATTATATTTCATATTTATCTGCAACAAATTCCAGTCGTGAAGTTTAGTAGATCAGAAAATAAGTAGAATTTTCCTTTCTTCCCAAATTTACTGAAAACTTATTTAAATGAAGACAATTTTCAATCATATAATGAAACTTACAGCTGCAAGAATTTTAAAGAAAAAGGCCGCACACACTTAATAGTTTATGTTATATATATATATATATATATATATAAGTAGACATAGATCAATCTCTTACGTCTCCTGTTCATAAAGTGCTCTTTAATGAGTCGTAAGATTGAGAACTGACACCAATTACTGCACACCTAGACAAAGATTCTAACTCTACGCAATACACCATCACGTGCTTCCTCGCTATCGAAGAGAACAATGAAAGAAAGAAGCGCGACAACATGCGCAGGATTGAAAGCCAATCACCGTGTGGGGTATGTTTCTGTCTACCTTGGCTAACCGTGTGGATGAGAGTTACTGCGAGAGCACATGATGGACGCACACACAGGCACGCGGGGTCCGGTTCGTAAATCGGTACGAAATTTTAAAAAGGTAACATTTTTTATCAGTCAACATCAGTGTGAATGCCATCGCCGGCCGTATTTCACTTACATGTTGTGCAAATACTACAGTACAGCACACCACCAAGGACATACATATATCTCATATGTATAGATAGTATATGCATGAGATTATATATATATATATATATATATAATATATATGTCCATGATACCACCAAAAGTCTATTAACATGTTGGCCCTTGCTACCATGTCACCACACACACTGAAGATCAGTTAGTCATGAAACTACATCTATATACATCACAATAGTATTAGTGTTAGTCTATAGTTACATATCGCAGTTGGTGACACCGTAGATTGTATTGTAGCCATTGCACAACCCGTAAGTGAAAGCAGCAGGTGATGTGAAGGAGATGCAAACATATCGACAGTAACGTCGACTAATATATGATTCCACTTTACTGACGAATATCATTTCATTCGTGGATGCAACCCGAGTGCTTGTGAGGACGCAGACCACGATAGACCGGAGAGAACAAAGTACCACGTATCGATTAGTGGCAAAACAATTAATTGCTATGCGATTAATCGCCATAGTATTAATCACAATACAATTAATCATGATACAATCATAATATGAGTCACGATACAGCTTCACGTGCGTAGTAATACACCCTGATGCGCCAAAAATAAATTTGAATATGACACGCATCTGATACATTCTGATACGTATCACATCATAGCCCAAATATTGTAATACGTATTATATCGTGGACTAGGCATGTGGTTGCTGCCCTATTATCGACGGAGAGACTTACAATCTACAGTTTTTCGTTGAAAATAGACTCGTCGACTGCGTTCTCCTGTGTTAGCAAAAGAAAACACTCGCGATTTACACAATGCAAGATCGATGCTTCTGCGCAAGCAAACGGCATATTCATGCACTCGCAGTTTCATCCACCCACACAGCAAGACACACAGACACAGGTGTGCAGTGTGGAAGGTTGAATCAACGACGCAGGGCACAAGCTGCTTAGCCATCTCTCGCACTAAGGACCCGGGCTCATTACTATTTTATTTAATCTTACATTATTTTTTAGATGCAACTCATTGAAAGTTTTTCATATGAATTGTTATAACGAAAAGTAATAAATTTTAAACTTAAGTTATATTAACTTGGTTTTGAAACGTGATAAACTAATAAAATCAACCAAAGACACTGACAAGTCAGTTACTACATAGACCAAACTATATGTGTCATACATAATTAAACAACGATTTTGTAAACCATGAGCCTAGGCCTTTGAGCGTCATGCAGAAATATGCTGAAGCACTGAAGCCAAGCAATAGCAAAGCATGGACTTTGAGAGAACTAGTAGAGAACTGGCATTGATTAAACAAATATCAGTGCATACTTTGACCAAATTCTTGTCATTCGATCTAAAGTTGAGCGTTATTGCTGGAGTGCTGTTTAAAAGGCACACGGACATTATTAATATAATGCAATCTTATTAATCTAAGCAAAGCCGACACATACAGCATCCATACTACAGGTTGTATATCCCCCTTTATGATTTGAAATGGCGGCATAATCTGCAAGTCTAGATACACCTTGAATATTCCTAACTCCAATACTATGAATATATTGGTAAATGAATATAGATGGGTTCATGCTGGTACAACCTACATACATGGCATAGTTCTGCTAAAGCTGGGTTTACACTACCGACTTTATGTTGTCAAATTGATGAGTTGGACCAATTTCACAATTCGGCAACACCGAGTTGGCGAAAATAGAACCTGTTCTAATCTCCCAACTAGTAGCTATTGACCAGTTTCTTGCGCAACTTTTGCATAAATTTTACACTGCCGATTGTCAGTTGTATAGTTGCGAAATTGGTCCAATTCGCCAATTTGACAACATAAAGTCGGTAGTGTAAACCCAGCTTAAGATGAGATGGGTAGAACTTTTTGTCATTGTCGTTACCAGGCTGACAGAACATCTCTGACATTCTTCTGTACTAAGATGCGTATACAGACTTGTGGTATATGCGAGTCGCCGAGTTTAATATGAGGATATATAACCTTTAAGATGGTCAGGCTGCTAGACAAGCTGTTAAATTGACGCACGTGAAATTCAACACGTAAAAGGCAGCAGAAGCGATACGCTTATCGTTTAATAATCCACCTAATATTAATCTGCAAACGTCAAAATCGACGAAGTTTGATACCAAACTATAACATGCTCGGATTACAAATGCAGTCACTGCACACAGCTAGCCAAGGAGTTCATTAACCCACGACGACCCACCTACCAACACACCCGACTGCCTAAACCTGCGCACGCAACGATTCACTCAAACCGATAATTAACGGTCTTAATCTACATTAACCGATATTAATCTACGATTAAACCGATCGGGCTGCGCGACGCATTACTAGGCGCGTGGCGCGCGCGTGCGAGCGAGCGACACCGCACCTGTCTGTGTTTGGTGAGCGCCTCCTCAAGGCGTCTGCCGTATTCCGGGTCGCACTTGCTGTAGTTTGCGACGGCGCGCTTCTGTATGAACTCCTGCGCGTTCTTCAAGTGTCCCGCCATGTTGCTGATGAGATGCTTCCGGCCGTCCTCGGTCAGCACCTGCAATGCCCCGACGACGTGACGCGGCAGACGAACGCGGATTCGGGGGGAAATCGACAAGCCAGGGGTGACCCACTAGGCGCTCGTATAATACAGTTACACACGCGCGCACGCACGCACGCACGCACGCACGCACGCACGCACGCACGCACGTACGCACGTACGCACGCACGCACGCACGCACACACACACACGCAATCATTACGATGAATCGAGAAGCAGTTAAGACACAGACCTGGGCATCTGGAAAAACGATCTCAGTCCGTTTAAGATGTAAGGTGCTAGGTATGTATAGAGTTTGAAAAAGGTTATAAATCGTGAATCATTATATCTAGTAGGCTAGATCTCAGAAAGGATATACCACTATAATACGTAATATTCGAATACATACATATACACAGCATAATATACACGTACTTTGCGCCAGAAGTTTCCAACCTGCGTGCTGTTATCGTCATCATCAGTTCTGTACCTCTTACAGTCACCGCTGTAGTGGACGGTATGCGCCAGGTACTTGTGATCGTGATCTGGTCCCTGGAAACTATTGGGGAAGTAGTTGGGTGCACCCTCTGTGGGGAGAAAAAAACACATACTTATCAGAATATGCAGATTATTAAATAGTGTCGATTACTTTGTGTGTACAATTAGCTATGATTGTATAGTGCCAGATGTATTAGTGGGTTCTCATTGGGTATTGTAGGGTGATTTATTATATTACACTGGTAGCACTCTTCCCTTCCTATTTCATAAATGATAACCTTTAATCAAAAGTAAATAACGAAATCTAATGCGAGATTGGACTGGTTTCAACTGGTATGGTTAGACTGCAATGGTATGGAACGGGTCTGCAGTGGGTCCGTGTGTCACAAGGCAATGCACGCATGTGCCTTGCTACACTCTACACACAATACACACTTCCGCAAACTCTGATTTCGGCGCCACGTCGTCTTACCCTGGTTGTCGTCGAGGCATTGTGGGCCGTCGCGCTGGTAGTTGCGCACGTGGGAGCGGTAGGAGCTGTTGACGGGCAGCTGCAGGTAGTTGCTGCCCAGGCGGTGTCGGTGCGTGTCCGAGTAGGAATAGAGGCGGCCCTGCAAGACGATGACCGATCGCAATCAAGCCGTTGATATCGAAGAGCGAATAATGAAATCATGATCGCAATACTTGGACGGATAATGAGATTACACTTAACTAAAGTAATATTGACATTATTATACCTTCAGCACGAGAGGGTGAGAGAGAGAAAGAGACAACAAGAGATGGAGAGAGAAAGAGGGAAAGAGAGTGAGAAAAGGAGAGAGGGAGGGAGGGAGGGAGCTAGACAGAGAGAGAGAGAGAGAGAGAGAGAGAGAAAGAGAGAATGAGAGAGATGGAGAGAGGGATGAGGGAAGAGAGGGAGAGAGGGATGAAGGAAGAGAGGGACAGAAAGAGATAGATAGATAGAGAGAGGGAAAGAGAGAGAGAAAGGTAGATAGGAAGAAAGAGAGGGAGAGAGAGCCCAGGCGAGAGAGATAGCTAGATAGAGAGATATAGAGAGGGAGAGGGATAGGTATGTACCCACTATTCTACTCAGTCGACGGCGTCAGCGCCCCCTACCTGCAGCATCTTGTCCGGACTGGCCTCGATGCCTGGAACCATGTGTGCAGGTGAGAAGGCAATCTGCTCCACCTCAGCAAAGTAGTTCTTGGGATTGCGGTTGAAAACAATGCGGCCAAACGGCTTCAGAGGGAAGTCAGCGTGTGGCCAAACCTGAGTCAAAGGAAATAGATGACAGCTACAATAATATGCAACAAATGACAGTTACATACAAGTAACAAATGGAAATTACGACAACAAACAACAATCAATAAAAAACAAATGGCATTTACATACCACAAAAAAACAGATGACAGTTACAAGAACATAGAACAAACAACAAATGACACTAAGACTTACAGCAATATACTACAAACAACAAATGACAGTTACAACAACAACAAAAAACAACGAATGGCAGTTACAATAACAAAATACAAACAGCAAATGACAGTTATAACAACAAACAACAAGCATTGTTACATTACAAGTCTTAGTCTAATTTGATCCAGTTTTTCCACAGATGGGGAAAAGGGAATGACAAGAATGTGAGAAGGAAGTGACTTGCATACTAATCAATATAATTATAGTACCCTGTCAAACCTTATTGTTGATCAGTCCTAATTATATTCTATTAATATCAAAGTGTCATGGGCCCTTGAACGTTTCAACAATTACGTCACGAGACAGATGTCGATGAAATTGAAAGAAATTAAATTTCGATAGAATTGATAACCACGTGAGTCTTCTGAGCTACTATATATGTGAACATGCCAGATGATGGTATTCACCAAACATCCACCGAAATCCACCTCATTTGCGTGATGTCACAGCAGACCCGATTATTTTTATAGTACCCTTACAAGATCACGTTTATAAAGCAGTTAGAGTATTAATTATATAATTTAGTGATGTGTTTCGTTGAAAAATAACAGAATGACGCACGAGTAGGTATTTACATGCGTTTTTAATGGGCTACTATAGGATTTTAATAAATCTACTCCCAACCTATCGTTACATTCACAATAGTTAGCAAGATGACAGTCAAGCACTGACCTTGGTGAGGTCAAACGGATTCCACTTCCACGTCGACGCCTGTTCAAAGGTCATGACCTGGATGTAGAACGTGTACGAGGGGAAACTGCCGTCTTCGATGGCGTTGTAGAGGTCACGCGTGGCGTAGTCGGGGTCGTTCATTGACAACTCGGCTGCCTGGGCGTCAGTCAGGTTCTTGATCCCCTGGTTGGTCTACGCAGCAAAATGGGAACCGTCTATGATGACAACGTGACGTGGATTTCTACATAAAAACTGGGAGCGGTCTATGGTCACGACAACATTTTCTGGATGTTCCCCTATTCCCTCCCCATGCCCACACCCCTTTCCCTCCCCATACCCACACCTCCTTTCCCTCCCCCATACCCACACCCCCTTTCCCTCCCCCATACCCACACCCCCTTTCCCTCCCCCATACCCACACCCACTTTCCCTCCCTCATACCCACACCCCCTTTCCCTCCCCCATACCCACACCCACTTTTCCTCCCCCATACCCACACCCACTTTCCCTCCCCCATACCCACACCCCTTCTCCACCCTCGTCCCTCTTCCCCTCCCCCTTCCTCTCTCCAGTCCCCACATCCCCCTTGTCCTCTCCCTCATTACCTTGTAATGGAACTTGCAGTAGACTGCATCATCGTTCGCGTTCACGAGCTTGAACGTGTGGCTGCCATAGCCGTTCATGTGTCGGAAGCCGTCCGGCGTGCCGCGGTCCGAGAACAGGAACGACACCTGGTGCATCGACTCGGGACGCAGCGTCAGGAAGTCCCAGAACATGTCCGGGTCCTGTCGTAGGATACGCAATGTACGGTCGCGCGCGTCTGCCACCGTCACTGCTGTCACGCTACTACTACACCACGCTGTCCAAGTAATGTAGCGCGTATTGTCATGCATGCATGCCTACTACATAATATACCATGTATCATCACATATTATGTCGTACACACCTTACATCACGTATTTCATACACGTGCATGATTACCATGTAACATACCATGGATTGAGATGCGATGTAACACATTGTCATGCGTGCATGCTTGCTATGTAATATACCATGCACTGGAATGTGATGTAACACATTGTGTTGTAGTTAAGCAGTATTGCAGTGCACTGCTTAGCATTGCTGTAGCATTGCATATGGTTCTGTTATTGCGTTGTATCATGTTGCAACGCACCCTACTGGACTCCACTGCATTGTTTTATATTATATATCTTTACTTCACTTCTTCTAGTCTAAACAATATTCATCAAAGGCCAATGGATTTATTTCTTGTCACCTTCAACTTAGCTCGATGCGTTTAAATGAAAACCTACGCCCACCATGCATATACCCTAGCTGTAACATATATACCAGGATAATATTCGTCATAATAAACATTCACTTACTTTTAGGTTAGTGACAGGATTTCGCTTCTGCGTGTGGATGAAGTTGGGAAACTGTGGAAGATACATGGTGGTCGACATCAGTACACAAATGTTACCTTATAAGGATTAGTCTGAGACACTATAGTAAAGATGTAGAAAGACAAAGTTGATCAAATTGATAGATCAGTACTGAGGACTGCAGTAGAAAGTATAAATTTCAATTTTACAATTAACACAACACTTTGCCAATGAAACAAAGTTATGCGTTGAAGGTATTCCCAGTGTTGAAATGCATTACTGAGGACACTGTACGACATAGTCTATAGTGTTTTCTGAAAAAGTACCATGTCGGGACATAGATGCAGTGACTGGTTTCTCGAAAAAGTAGCACGTACTTGTTTGATTCTCCCTATTCATAATTTGCACAATTATTGAACCAGTCTGGTTTTTCCATTGCACGGCACCTTGATTCTCTTTACAACCCAGCGAAAGGTCTCTCGCAAAAGTAGCACGCACCGGGTTTGAAATGTCACTGAGCAAACTTCAATTCTCTCTCCTATTCATAATTCACACAATTATTGAACCTGTCTCAATTCAATCGCACGCCACCTCGACTCTCTTTCCGCTTCTGGCAGGAAAGCAAACACCGAGACATGCCGGTTCAGTCCGTCGCCACGGCAACCGTCGATGTGGTCGATACCCGCCTTCCGACGAGACGAGAACGGTGTTTGCGAACCTGCTCGTTATTACGCGACGCTGGGACAGGTTTCATTGCGTACGGGGGCGGGGGACACACGCGGGGTCGGCGGCCCCGTGAGGTCGCACGCACGCACGCGCACGCATTGTCACTTACGAAGATCGGGTCGCGAATGAAGAAGACGGGAGTGTTGTTGCCGACAAGGTCCCAGTTGCCCTCCTCCGTGTAGAACTTGAGCGCGAAGCCGCGTGGGTCGCGCGCCGTGTCGGCCGATCCCTTCTCCCCGCCTGCGACGTCGAGAGAGGGAGCGTTAGGGGAGCGAGGGACAGGACCGGGGACGAGACGTCGTTAGCGGGCGGACCAGCGGGACAAACGAAGAGTCAGCAGGAGGACGCAGTGTTGACAATATGAGGCTGTCAACCGGTCCGGGACTGGTAACTTTTTAGCAGGACTGGCTAATTCATATAGATTTTACTATGGGTTATAAAGTAGAAATAGAAATTTTACGAAATCAGGATGGGCTGGGCTTTCAGATTCATTTCCAAGACCGAGACCCGATGTCATAAATAAAATTAGTCTCAAATTCTCAATATTAGTTTTAACATTAATTTTTTTTTACTAATGTTGAGAAAAATATTAAGACTAATTTTGTTTCTGACAATAGGCACCTGTAGGATGAAGAGGGGAAACAGGGGAGTAAGTTTAAGTAAACTGCGACTGGGTAACACATCCCACGCATGCACGCACGCCTGCATATAGGAACCCTCGCGCATACCAGTAATGACAATTAACACTAGCCGAGTCATCCGAGGGAAGTAAAAATAATGCTGCACCCAAGAATTTTATCGAAAAATTGTCCAGAATGTGAATGGTTTGTTTCTATCCCTTAATCAGTGAAACTTCAGCGTTTTATGCCAATAGCTGGACCCCTAAAGCTTGAGCTAGGCCGATGATATTTTAATGCCAACTGGCATATATATATATATATATATCGCACCCATGTTTGACGCAATACAAAGATCTCGCATCATATATTTAAACTACACGCGCATTTCGGCCAAGCGTTGTTGGTATATGTACGCATCCCGTACACTTACCACATCTCACATGCCCTTACAACGACCATGGATTTTGCACGGATCCACGACACTATCAGCTACACCAAATCCATGGACTGACATACGGTGTTGATATAAGGGGCACGCACCACTAGCCGCGAAGATACCAGGGCAGCTTGTTTACTGGGCCTCACTTACCGACGGTGGAAAAACGCACTGCCATCGGCGTACGCTTGCCGACGTGCTCAAAGATCTTTGCCTTGCAGTACTGCGTGATGTCATGCGTCACCTCGAAGTAGCCGAAGGCACCTGAACATCATCCACAGACACAATGAGGCAGAATCAACAAGCAGGGTAGAAAAACTGCTCCGTTAGTATGACACATGACATACATGATATGACATGAAATGACAAACGTGACATGATACGACATGACATAACATGACACCACATGGCAAACATGACATGAACTGAAATGACAAACATGAAATGAAATGGCATGACATGACAAACGTGACATGACATAACATGACATGAACTGAAATGACAAACATGATATGAAATGACATGACATGACAAACGTGACATGATACACCATCACAAACATGACATGAACTGAAATGACAAACATGAAATGAAATGACATGACATGCTAGTATGAAAATGTCATGACGAACATGAAATAAGGTGACAAAGGCTGAGCTTTTCACGAGAGCGTTACTCTCTTGCCGAATAAAACCAACATCAACTTCATATGTGTCAAATCAATGTTTCAAAATCAATGTCAAATTTTTATAAGCAAACAAGTTAAACAACTTTTAACAACTGTCATAGTGTTAGCTGGGATTGAGAAAGTGGGAGTCTCAAATGACTGGAATATTTGTCTCCTAGCAAAATCATGCACACCATAAATCTATTCACTGAAATAAGTGCATGGCTGTCGTCCGCTGTCGGCAGTAAAATTGCCGTCTAGTATGAGAATAGACAGTCAAAAAGACGGTGAGACGGATTGCTAGCGAATGACACCTGCGGATTTCCAAGTGAATGGTGACCGAGTAATAAAGGATTTATCCCCAGGGTATTAGGTGAGCAATCCCCAGGGGTCATGACTAACATCACTAAGGTGCATGCATCTACCCTGAAACCTTACGTGCTAATTCAACCAGATGTTCGAATTTAAAAAAAATGTTTTCAACAAACACTGCTGTTAAACAGCATACTTCTAACAATGCCCATCTCCGTTTGAGAAGGAGAAATATAATGCATTCACGGTGAAAATAATCGGCCATTAAATTTTGCGCGATCAGGCATTTTGAGCTGCTATTGTCAAAAATATTATCGCATTTAGCACAATTCCGCACCTATTTTGCCCCCCCCCCACCTCAGCAATTTCCCTCGGATCAGTTAAACATTCCATGAGATCAGGTCAACAATCTTTTTGGGGAGGGAAAGGTCGTATCCAAACAATTCCATGTTAAGCAGAGCATCCCCTCCTAGATCCCCCCCCACCCCGCCCTGCTGCCACAGACGAACACCTCCCTCTCACCGCACATGCTACCTCCCTTCCTATGAGGAGGGGTCATACGTAAATAATTCCACACTAAGCAAAGTGTCCCCCCTCCTACCACACCCCCCGAGCACGGACGGACACGACCCCCCTCCTCCTCGCCGCACCCCCCGGGCACGGACGGACACGACCCCTCCTCCTCGTCGCACCCCGGCACGGACAGACACGACCACCCTTCTCCTCACTGCACCCCCGGCACGGACGGACACGACCCCCTCCTCCTCGTCGCACCCCCAGCACGGACGAACACGACCCCCTTCTTCCTACCACACCCCTGGGCATGGACAGACACGACCCGCCTCCTCCTCACCGCACCCCCGGCACGGACGGACACGCCCGACCCCTCCTCCCCGCCCCCTCACGGGCACGGACAGACACGACCCCCCTCCTCCTCACCGCACTCCCGGCATGGACGGACATGACCCCCTCCTCCTTGCCCCCCCCACGGGCATGGACAGACACGACCCCCTTCCTCCTCACCGCACCCCCAGCACGGACGGACACGACCCCCCTCCTCCTATCACACCCCTGGGCACGGACAGACACGACCCCCCTCCTCCTCACCGCACCCCCAGCACGGACAGACACGACCCCCTCCTCCTACCACACCCCTGGGCATGGATGGACACGACCCCCCTCCTCCTCACGCACCTGCCCCCTTCGCGTGCACGACTCTCTCGGGGATCCTCTCGCGGTTGAAGTGCGCCATCTCGTCCTGGAAGACAAAGTCCTGCATGACGAGCGGCCCGCGCGGCCCCACCGTCTCGATGCATAGCTTGTCCCCGACGGGCGCACCCACTCCTGTCGTCAGCTGCTCTCTGGCCTGCCGAAAACAAACACGTTGTGCTGCATGTAGGTACACCTACGATGCGGGGAGGGGGACAGACACGTAGGATATTCTGTTACTATATTGACACTTGTTAACATCAGGCTAGTATATCATTCTATCAACACCACATATATATATTATGAGCTTAAAATAGTTTTGCACTATACGTACCGTACATGTACGCACTTCTAGACTAGAATGCAACAAGGTAAAGAGAACTTTCTAGACTATTCTGCGAGATCTGGCCGATGCATGTTTCCAGTTGATGTAAATGCGCAGAGAAGTTGCAATGATATCACACATAGCTTCTCTATTAGGGTTATTTCTGTTGAACATACGTGACAAAACTTCTAAATTGCAAAACATGAATCGTACCTACGTCTGTGGCCTAACCAAAGAACAGCTAGTTAAGGCCGGCGCACACCAGCCGATTTATCACGCGATTTGATAGGCCCGATAAAAATCAGCCGATATGCGCGTTCATTTGTAGACGATTTTACTTACGATTATTTTTATCGGGTGATCGTTCCAAATCAAACATGTTTGATTTTGAACCGATTATTTTGAAGCAATTTTTGAACAGCCAATAGCTGAACGTGCCCGTGTCACATGACATTCAAAATGGCGCCTACCATCAACAAAATAACCAATTTTATCGTAGGTGTGCAGGTGTTTATCGGAAGGCGTCGCACTGAGCCAATTTTACAAACCATGAAGAGATTTTTTAATCGGACCGATTTCTGGGTAGGTGTGCGCCGGCCTTTAGCAGCTACTACGCGGGCTATAGAGCTACTACTACAACATGGTTCATATATACAGGAGGACTGAAATTTTTTCCAAGGACTTTTCAAGGACTTTTCAAGGACATTTTATCGGAAATACAAGGACATTTTATCAGACATTTTATCGGAATTCATACACAGAACAAAACATACCTGGATTAATTTAATAACCCCATTCTTAATCACTGCATGTCACCTCTAAAACTTACCTGGATCACATTAATAAACCCTTCTAAACACTGTCACTTCTAAAAAATACCTTGATTTACTGACTTACTGTAATTTGTGATCATCATTTAACTGTCTATCGTGTCTATAGCTTTTTAAGCTCATTTAACGCAATTTTTATTGGGGTTTGCACATTATTGATGGTACAACATTTCTTTTTATTACAGGCAAGGATTCTTTCTAAAAATTTTCATGGACATTTTCAAGGACATTTTCATGAAATTCAAAGACATTTTTATGAAATTCAAGCACTTTTCAAGCCCAAAATCAACATTTACTAAATTCAAGTACTTTTCAAGGACTCCCCTCAAATTCAAGTACTTTTCAAGGACTCCCCTCAAATTCAAGGACGTTTCAAGGACTGTGCGAACCATGTACAACTACTACAGCCAAAAGTCAAAGATCAAAAGTGGACTACAAGTTCAACACTTCAGTCCTTTGGCCACCAAAAGAAGTGTCAGACAAGGAAATGGTTTATAGCACAGGCCCAGCTGATATAGTATGTGACCAGCCAAATAACACGAGTATCAACTCAGACCCTGCACAGTAAGCAAGAGCTTGCAGAGATTTGTCAAAAAAACACGTTTTCCCAACTGTATCTACACTAGTACTGAACCCCCACATACTAGGACAGTAGCGTCAATCATAGCCTTCCTTCACTATCTCAACAACGCTACAAGCTAAAATTCGTTGGTGTCGTCTCAGAAATATCTTGACGCACTTATCGATATGTATATTAGTATATATAATCAAGCCAGCCCAGTATTCATTTACGCTTAGGACCTAACAGGGTATCTAGCAGAATACCTCCAACTGGATTGAACAGGATTTTCCAGGGGTCTAAACAAACAGTGATAAAACGTGTATTTACATATAAATACGCATATACAAAGTTATGTAGGTCACGAGCAAAAAACTGATAGAACAGGAAAGGGAAGCTGATAAAGTACCCGAGCAGCAAGGTGCTATAATGTTCTGATTCAGCTACATAATATCAGGAGTAGATAATAGGGATCCCTATTATCTACTCCTGATAATAGCAAGAGTGCATAATAGAGATGCACTCTCTATTATGCACTCTTGCTAATAGTACACATTATTTAATATCCCACAATATCCCAGGGGTCGAATTAGCCGCTAGCCCGCTGGGACTAGTATATTGTTTGAGGGTTGGTAGTATTTGTTTCCAGACCAGATTTCGTAAGTTCGTGATATATGTAACGTGTGTTGCGTGAGCGGTGTGTGCATGCTGTGCGCGCATTAATGTTCGTGCATGTTGAGCGGGGTGTGCGATGTGTGTGCGTGCAGGCGGTGTGGTGCGACTGTGATGTGCGTTAGCGGTGTGTGCGACGTGTGTGGTGAGCGCGTGTGTGGACGTGTGTGGCGTGGGAGCGCGTGTGTGCGACGTGTTGTGCGTGAGCGCTGTGTGGTGCGACTGTGTGTGCGTGAGCGGGTGTGTGCGACGTGTTGTGCGTGAGCGCTGT